ACCCCCAGAGGCTAGTGTGCCCCCCCCACCCCCGCCTACCTCCCCCCACATCCAGAGCCCTGCGTCCTCCACACATGTGGATTCAGGAGCCGCAGAAGGTGGGGCGCAGGGGGACACAAGTAGGAGGAGGAAGAATATGGGGAGATTCTAGTCCCTCCCACTTAGAGATGCAGTTGCCATGGTGACTGAGGACCAGTGAGGCGGGATGGGGTTGGGGATGGGGGGCGGGGGTGTGGCAGGGACGGAGGCACTGGGAGACAGGAAGCCTGGCATTCCAGAGGGAGGGAAACGCAGCAGCATATCCAAGCTCCAGGTAAGGGAGCGGGAGCGCTGACGGTTCAGAATGGAGGGGGCGGTCCATTGTCTGGCGCTTGCTCTGCCCCAAGGAGGGGGCAGGCAGAGGGGGTCAGGCCATTGTGTTCTATACTCAGCTCGGTCTTCCAGCACTAGTCGGACAGGAGGAGGAAGCCTGGGAGGCACTGGGTAAGGGGTTAAAGGGGACTGGGTTGGGCGGACAGAAAGAAGGCTGGAGACTATGGGGATGAGAAGAGGTGGGGGGGCGCTGGCGGAGTAGAGGCTTGGGGATATATCCTTAGTGCCTTACACACATCAGGCACTTTAATTATAAGTTGATTTGATCTGCTTGTGATTGCAAAAAAGAGGATAATGAGGGACTGGGTAGATAGGGCTAAGAAGGGGACCCAGGAAGCTGATGTTCCCTAGGACTGTGCTCTTCTGGGGCTTCCCTGAAGCTGAGGGGAGAGGTGGTAGGAAGAATTAGACCAGCTGGGTCGCTGGCACAGCCAGGAGTAGCTTCCCTCCTGGCTCCAGGACCCCTCCCTTGGTGAGGTATTCAGGCTCCATCAGAGTGCAGAAGGGACAGAAATCCCGGGGTGAGCACGGGGTAGATATGGGAAGCAACTTCTCACATCTCCATCCCCACATCTAGATTTCCATCCTGGGCTGAAAGCTGGCCAGGAAGGGGTTATTTGATGTGGTCTAGGGGCCATGGGGGAGGAGTCCCCACTGGGAGGTCAGGGTTGAACTCAGCATTGCTGTCCTGGGGGTCCCCAGGTTGGGCCCCAGGGCCCAAGGAGTTGGGGAGCCCCCACAGTGCAGCTGTGGAATGGCATAGCCCCGACAACCTGGTCCTGAACCACTGACCCCTTCCTACCGCCACCCCACCTGAACTGCTGCCCTACTTCAACCTCAGCCAAGACACTTCCTCTCCCTGGCCTTGGTTTCGTCATTTGTACAGTGAGGGGGTGGGACCCCGTCAGTTCTGAGCATCCTCGATGTTGTGAGAGGTCCTGCTACATTTTTCGCCAGGCCCAGTGCAAAATGAAAGTTTGGGCCCCTCATTCAAAATCTAGACTTTCAAACATTGACTATTTACCAAAATATCTTTCCAAGGTGGAATGCCAGAAAAGTTTTCAGGAGATTCCACAGAAAACTCTGTTTCCAAAGACTTTATCTCCTTTCTCCTTTTCTTCCCCCACTCCCAAACTCCTTCCTTGCATTTCTGAAATCACCTATCTCATATATAACCTCTGCAGTTTACAACCTGAAAATCTTATGGATTACCAGATCAACTTCACTATGATTTCATGAACACATATGTGAAATTATAAAACAATTGCAAATGCTTAGATTTAAAGTTTCTTTTATGATAGTGCTATGTTTAAGTGGGATTAGACATTAGTAAATATTTTTTTAGTTAAAAAAAAAAAATCAAGGCTTACAAGACAGCAGCACTTGGGCGTTAGACCGAGCGTGGGGCCCTGTGTGACTGCCCAGGTTATGTGCCCAGGAAGCCAGCCCTGACTGTGGGCTGGCTCTGTGTGTGGCAGCAAGAGAGGGCAGTGTGGCTTGAAGTCTGACTCCTGAGACTCTGGTACAAGATGGGCAGTGATAGGGGGCAAGGTGACCCTCTTCCCCACCAGGCTCCTCAGGGAACTAGCCCGGGAGGCCCTAGTGGAGGCAGGAGGTAGGACTTGTAGGCTTCTGTTTCCTCTTGAGTCAGGCTTCACCCCAGAGACACTGTTTCTTAGCCCAGGGGACCTGGAACTTGCGTTCTCCATCCAAGTTGCTCAGAGTTGAGTTCCCTGGACCCGGGCAGGGGTCAAATCAACTGTAGCCAAGGGATTCCCTCTGGAACGAGGCAGATCTGAGTTTCCCTTTACTTCTGGCTACCCTTTGCCTCACTTCCCTTATCTTTAAAATGTGGGGACTCCCTTGGTGATTAGGTGGTTAAGACTCCATTCTTCCAATGCAGGTGGTGAGGGTTCTATCCTTGGTCAGGGAACTAAGATCCCACAAGCTGCATGACAAGACCAAAAAAAAAAAAAAAATGGAGATTACTGTAGTATCTAGAAGCTAAAATTGTTGGGTAGATCAAAGCCTGATAAGGCAAACTTCATACTTGTGGTTGAGATAAAGAAGACTTGTTGTCAGAAGGAAGAACTAGGCTCAGGGCATTGAGTCTAAGACTTCCAGAGAGAGAGGAGCACAGCAGGGGCTGGGAGCCTGGGGCTGGAACCTCCTCCCTCATCCCCAGCTCCCCACCATCAGAATTCTTCCCAGACAAGCCAGTCCATTCAGGCAGAGAGACCTGGAGCAAGGTAGGTTCCCACTCTAAATTGAGGGTTAGGGGACATGAAATATGGGGTCCAGGTGGGAATGATCCTTGATTCTGAGAGTCTAGAAAATTTTCTCCAGGTGACTGGGCCCATGGCTTCTCCCAGGGGCCAGGCAATGAGACTCCATGAGAGTCTGGGGGAGTCTGAAGTAAGTCTTTTTTTTGGCTGTGCTGGGTCTTAGTTGCAGCATGTGGGATCTAGTTCCCTAACTAGGGGGTCAAATCTGGGTCCCCAAGTTGAGACTGCAGAGTCCTAGCCACTAGGTCAGCAGGAAAGTCCCTTAAGCTAGTCTTACCAGAAACAGTTGTGGGGGGTGGCTTGGCTGAGACCAGCTCTCAGAGAAATTGAGGGAAAATGAGAGCTGAGGGAAAGGGAAGAAGGCTGAGCTGACTCTGACAAGGATTCTTCTAAGGAGGAGCCTAAGCTGTCCCACCTTCTGTACACTTTGCTGTGGCAGGGAGCGGGGTGGGTGCATGTTACACAGCAGGAAAGACCTCCTGACCATAAGGAACATGCACTTAAGAAGGTGGTCTATTTATTAGAGTCGGATTAGCCCTGGGATGTCTGTGCTCTGTAACCAGCAGTCAGCTGGACTGAGTGAGCAGGAAACTAGCCACTTTCTAGGTCATGAAGCCTTTGGTGCTAGATGCCTCATTAACCCTGCATTATGAGATCCCCGGAGCCCTAAGGGAGGGATGAGCAGCCACCATCGGGCCTTTGGGTGCCTCAGAAGTATGAGTGCAGATGGGAAATTTTCTGGGTCTGCCACTGGCCTGATGCTGCCCTAAGAGTGCTGGAGATAAGACTACAGAAGGAATTTTCTCAGCAAAGCCATGGATAAGAGCCTAATGCAATTGTTTTATTACACATTTTTTAAAACCACTTAAAAATATATATATTTATTTATTTGGGTCTTAGCTGTCCTGCAGGCTCAATTACCCCGAGGCGTGTGAGACCTTAGTTCCCTAACCCGGGATCGAAACTCTGTCCCTTGCATTGCAGGGTGGCTTCTTAGCTACTAGACCCTGAGGCAAGCCCCTAAATCATTTTTTTAAATGGAAGTATATTTAATCGACAATGTTGTGTTAGTTTCAAATGTACAGCAAAATGTGGACTTCCCTGGTGGTCTAGTGGTTAAGACTCCATGCTTCCAATGCAGGGTGTGGGGGTTTAATTCTTGGTTGGGGAAGGTCCCACATTGCTGAGTAGTGTGGCCAAAAAAAAAAAAAAGAAGAGTGTACAACAAAGTGATTCAGTTTTACGTACACATATATAGATATGAAAAGTCAAAGTGTTAGACGCTCAGTGGCGTCTGACTCTTTGTGACTCCATGGACTGCATCCCACCAGGCTCTTCTGTCCATGGAATTCTCCAGGCAAGAATACTGGATTGGGTTGTTGTTGTTTAATTGCTAAGTTGTGTCCGACTCTTTGCGACCCCGTGGACTCATAGCCCACCAGACTCCTCTATCCATGGTATTTTCCAGGCAAGAATATTGGAGTGGGTTGCTATTTCCTTCTCCAAGGGATCTTTCTGACCCAGAGATTGAGCCCGGGTCTCCTGCATTGCAGGCAGATTATATATAAACACATTCTTTTTCAGATTGTTTTCCATTATAGGTTATTACAAGATATTAAATTTTTAAAAAAAGATATTAAATATAGGTCCCTGTACTATACCAGAGAAGGCAATGGCACCCCACTCCAGTACTCTTGCCTGGAAAATCCCATGGACGGAGGAGGCTGGTGGGCTGCAGCCCATGGGGTCGCTAAGAGTCAGACATGACTGAGTGACTTCACTTTCACTTTTCACTTTTATGCATTGGAGAAGGAAATGGCAACCCACTGCAGTGTACTTACTTGCCTGGAGAATCCCAGGGACGGGGGAGCCTGGTGGGCTGCCGTCTATGGGGTCGAACAGAGTCAGACACAACTGAAGCGACTTAGCAGCAGCAGCAAGCTGTACTATACAGTAGGTCCTTGTTGTTCATGATTGTGTTGTTTTTAAAGACTATGGCTCAGTTGGACATAGGAGGTCTGAAAGGTTATTCCACTTCAGGGACTTCCCTGGTAGGACTGGAGAGACCCCACCTTGTGGGTAAGTGAAAAGAGGAATACGAAAGACGGTGTCATGTTTCCTATCTGGGAAATCTTGAGCAAGAGGTAAAATCCCTGCTAGGCTTGTTAGACTGGCTGTGACAAGATAGAGGGGCAGGGGAATGGCTGAAATGACCTAGAAACTTTCTAGCCTTTTAAACTTTCTCGATTGACAGGTGAGAGGAGGGCCAAAGAGAGAGGTGTGTCTCCTTTTATTCCCCTCCCAATCAACCAACTTCCGCCCAAGCCAGGGATCTGTCACAACTCGAGAGGTGGAAATTCTGGTTTCCCTTGCCCAGAGCTCCCAGTGTGGGCTTTGCCACTATGGGTACCTGGAGGGCCGCACTCCTGGCCCCGCCAGGCTGAGCCTCCCGTCCCCCAGCTCTGGGGCCTGGGATCCCTCCCTTCTTCTTTCTCTTGGATGGCACCCGCCGCCCAAGAGTCTGGATACCTGGGTTCTATGCCGTGACTGGCTCAACGGTAGGTGAAATGTGATGGCTGACTGGAGGGGTGGCAGTCCAAGGGGAGGATTATGCAGAGATCCAGGGAGACAGATAGCAGCAGCACTAAGACCAGAGAGAGAGGGGGCAGCTGCAGAGGCTGGGAGACGACCAGCCGCTCCCTGCCCCGGGCCACTGTCCGTGTGATGCTAGTAGACAGCCTGGAGGGCTGGTCTCCCATCTCCTCTTGGCAGGAAGAGGCCTGTAGGCCTCAGAGTCAGAACAGAGCAGACCGATTCAGACCTGGTCTTCTCGTTTGGGTCATCAGAGGGTAGGGCTAAGCACAAGACCCAGAGTATCAAGAGATCTGAAAGTGCCAGGAGAATCAGGTCTGAAGAATCTATACTGCGAGTGCAGGAATGTGCTCCCCAGAAAGTCCCAGGGCCAGGACCAGGCAGTGGTTTGGGACCTGGGCTAGGGGAGGAGGAAAGGCAAAGAGTAGATGACAAGAAGGACTTCCTTGAGAGTAAGGTGAGGAAAGGCAGAGCTGGGCTATTGGTGCAAAGAGATCAAAAGGGATGGGGAACAGCTGGATTTCAACCCCGAGGGGAGAGTGGGGCAGAACGAGGCCTGTGAGAATGATGGAAGTGAGACTCTCTGAGGGCACGCTGGAGAGGAAACTGGCCCGTCCCCCTCGCATCCCCCCCTGCCATACACACTTCTGCTGCCTGGGGCACTCTGATTGGTTCCCAGGGGGGATGTGGTAAGGCCTGCTCACCCAGAGAGTACCCGTGCCTGTTTCCCCAGAGACCCAGTGACAGCCCCTGGCTGAGCATGGCCCTTCCAGCCCTGGGCCTGGACTCCTGGAGCCTCCTGGGCCTTCTGCTCTTCCAGCTGCTCCTGCTGCTCCTGCCACCGCCGACAACCGCGGGGGGTGAAGGGCAGGGACCCACACCCAGGGTCAAGTACTATGCAGGTAAGGGTCTGATGATCAGGAAGGAGGGGGTGGCAGCCCCGGGCTGGAGGCGGGTGGAGGAAGGAAAGAGAGAATGGAAGGAGAGTGGTAGGAAATTGGACTTGGAGAAACCACGATAGATAAGTCATGGAGAAGCAGAGGGCGTCAGAGAGAGAGAGAGACAGCCAGAAATAGAAATTCAGGCCGAGAAAGGAGTGAATGATGAAACTCACTTGGGGGAGAGACTGAGGAAAGGGAGGTGAGGGGAGCAGGGGGCCAGGGGCGTTGTGCCTTCTGGTTCTCCAGAGCTGATGATTTCTCTTTCCCTCCTTCAGTGTCACTGTTATCAAACTGGGCACTTCAAACCCATAACTGCTTTCATGCCCTCAAATGCCCCAAGGACATTTGAGGTATAAGGGAATCCGTGGACCTGGTAACCCAGGACACACAAGTGCACAGATTATGCTGGACCATGCTGTGTCCAATACTGTGGACACCAGGAATATAAGAAGCCAGAGTAGCCTGGCTGGGCTATGGGCCCTGGGACCCTGTAGACACAGCTTGACTGGTGTCTTACTGAGGCTGTGGGGGCTGCTGGCCCTCCATCTCCAGGGAAAAGACTCAGGAAAGGACATGGGCCCTGTCAGAGTTGTAGGGGCAGGGTCTCCTGGGCATGGCTGAGTCTTTAGCATCTTGTGGTAAAGGAAATGCATGTTGCCCATTGATGGAACGACCTCCCCTGTGTTAGGTGCTGGGCTTACAGCATAAACCCTGCTCCCAAGGTGCTGATGGTCTCCAGGGGCAGGCAGGTGGGCCGTCACATAACCATACTTGACGGTGATCAGTTCAGTGACAGAGGGGTTTATACAGCTCTGGGGAGGCCAGCCTCTCTGGCACCTTGCCACATGTTTCCCCAACTCTTCTTTGTGGGTGGTGCTAAGATTCTCTGAGCCTCCAGAGCTAACAGTTAGCTCATCAGTCCTCTAATGTGAAAGTGCAAATGTGCTCATGAGAGAGAGAGTTTGAGAAGCTCATCTCTCCGTGCTGATGGGCCAGGGGTCCGATGTACCAGGGGACCAGGCACACACGCCCACCTCCTCCACATCACAGTGGTAGGGAGACCTCAGGGAATCTCCCACAGCCAGCCGAAATCCCCAGTCCAGGTGACATCCAGGCGCCTGCAGGAAACTCAGGAGAAAAACATTTTCTTTCTGTTCCACCTATGGCAGTGGTTCTTGTAGTGGAAATTTCCTGTAGAACAGGGAAGGAAAGTGGGGTTGGCGAGTGGGACCTCTACAACCCACAGTCACTGACACATAGTCCTATCTACCTCGAGCCTTCTTGTCTGTGGCTGCCAACACCTTCCTGTCGCTGCCAACACCTTCCTGTCTATCTGCTCTCTGCCCTCCCCGCCTGTGAGGATTGACGTGTCCTCCCTGCCGCAGCCCCCTAGGCCTGGAAGAGCATCCCTTGTGCCTCACTTTATTTCCTGTCCCTTTGTCTGTCTCTTGAGTGTGGGCCACCTTCTGTCTGTCCCAGTCTGTTATTACCCTGTCTCTGGTTGTCTTTCCTCTCCACTACGAGCTCAGCGCCCAACGCTCCTAGGCTGTCAGCAGGGTGGGGCAAAGCAGGGATCTGCTGCTGAAGAGTGGGTCCGGCTGCGAAGGTGGGGGGAGCACACTCTGCCAACCCTTTCCTTCCCCTTCATTTCTCTCAGAAATCAGCTGCTTGCCCACTGCCTTCTCATCACTCACCCCTTCTCACCACCTCTCAACAGGGGATGGACGCAGAGCTCTTAGCTTCTTCCACCAAAAGGGCCTCCAGGACTTTGACACTCTGCTTCTGAGTGATGATGGAGGCACTCTCTATGTGGGGACTCGAGAGGCCATTCTGGCCTTGAATATCGAGGATCCTGGGGTGCCAAGGCTGAAGAACATGGTGAGAGCCAGGGAAAGGGTGTGGGCTGGAAGTGAGGAGGGGGCCGACAGCTGCCCTGTGCCTGGGCTGCCTATGAGTGAATGACCACCCAATTTGCTGTTATCTATAATCAGCAATGATCAGCAGTTCTTGGTATAGACATATATATGTATGATTTTTATGACAGACAAGAAACACGATAGTGGCCTCACACTTCATTGGTACCATCAATACTGGCTGAATAATATTAATTGCTAAAATGGCTGATATGGAAATCGACAAAGTGAAAGTTGCTCAGTCATGTCTGACTCTTTGCAACCCCGTGGATAGTCCATGGAATTCTCCAGGCAAGAATACTGGAGTGGGTAGCCATTCCCTTCTCCAGGGGATCTTCCCGACCCAGGAATCGAACCAGGATCTCCTGCATTAGCAGGCGGATTCTTTACCAGCTGAGCTACCAGGGAAGCCCCAATACTAATTGCTAAAAGACTGATATGGAAATTGACATATGAGAGAAACATTGACTCAAATTGTATCAGTAATGTGATATCCACCCACTGGAAGAAATCACTGAAGCTTCTGTGTTAAATTATAGTCACCCTACTCACAGGAATGTGAGGGAGAAGGGGAGAAGGAAGGAAAAAAGGGAGGGAGGGAGCAAGCAATTGCTGAGCATCTCAACACAGTTTGTATTGCTCAGTGTGTGGTCTGTGGGCCACCTGCACATATGGGATGTGGATTAAAAATACAGTTTCTCTGAGGTGTGAGGAACTGAACTTTTTTAACAATTTCCCCAGGAAATGTGTTTTGTTTTGTTTCCAGCTGCTGCTTTGTATACCATGCATGGCATTAGGTGCTTTACATACAGAAATCTGTGCCATTGACCAAGATCACTCAACCAGTAAGTGGCTGAGTCTAGGTTCAAGCTCAGGTCTGATGCCACTGACCATGCTCTAACATGGAGCTGTGTCCTCATGAATATCTGTATCATTAGGGTAATAGCCAGGGTCACAGAGTGAGGTTCTTACAGCCTACCAGCATGTAACTAACCATTATGCCTGCTGGTGGTTTCACACCAGAGCCAAGGAGGGGGTGGTAGGTCAGAGCTAGAGCTCAAGGTCTCATTGCCTTCATCTCCCCTTTCCCAATGCCCTACTTCAGATACCCTGGCCGGCCAGTGACAGAAAAAAGAGTGAATGTGCCTTTAAGAGGAAGAGCAATGAGGTAAGTAGGGGTGGAGATACTGGGGCTCCGGGAGAGAACCCTGGTGTCCCCGGGCCATCACTGGATGACCTTAGGTGAGGCAGACAGCAGAGGACACTTGTTTGAGTGGTCGTGTTCTACAGGCTCATGATCATGTGGCCTGCTGTTCTATAAAGACCTATGGGGACTGCCTCAGCACTGCCCAGCCCTTCTCCCTGCTGGCGAGTGAGGGAGCAGTCCTCCAAGGGCCGGGAGTCTGGGGCAAGTGTCCTGGAGGCCTGAATTGTCTATCTCCCCCCAGTCACAGTGTTTCAACTTTATTCGTGTCCTGGTATCCTTCAACGCCACCCACCTCTACGCCTGCGGCACGTTCGCCTTCAGCCCTGCTTGCACCTTCATTGTGAGTTACCCGGCACTGGCTCTCAGGCCCCACCTCACCGCCACCCCCAGCTCATCCTCTGCAGCTCTGAAAAACTCTGATGTTGCAGCCCAGGGTCCTTGTGAGCTTCCGAGCTCCAGGTCAATTTTCCTCTGCATCCCCTCCCCTTCCTCCCTCACGCCCCTCCTTTCCCAGATGTGAGACTCTGGCGTTCTGGCCCCCCCAGCCACTTCCCCCCCTCTAGGAACTCCAAGATTCCAAACTGTTGCCCATCTCGGAGGACAGGGTTGTGGAGGGGAAAGGCCAAAGCCCCTTCGACCCCACCCATAAGCACACAGCTGTCATGGCAGGTGAGTATCAGGTTCCCTGGTCCATCCCAACAACTGCCTTCCCCGGTCACTCTGTGACACAGGGAATCTGACGATTTCCTGAAAGGCAAGAGGACAAAGGGAGGGGAAGCCAGGAGCCTCAGAGCATAAAATCAGAGGGAGAATCAGGTACCCCAACCAGTCGAAGCTGCCACAAAGGAGGTGGGGCAAGATGGATGTGGAGCGATGCACAGAGGTAGGAGGGTCCTGGAAGGGTCTCAGACAGGGAAAAGGCCTGAGAGTCACCATTTGTTCAACAAGCAGGCTCTGAGGGAACACCCCCTCTGGTGTGCCAGGCATTGTGCTGGGAAACGTAGGGATTGCAAAGAGGAAATCATGGTGCTGTGCCCTCCTGGACACAAACCATCACAGACTCCCCTCACCCCCTGGCTTCCTGAAGGCGGTGGCCTTTGACGGAGTGGGACCTTGAAAGACAGGTAGATGGGCAGGGAAACTGTTCCAGGAAGAAAAGGGTAGGCCCTCATGTGTAGAAACAAAACACAGCCATCCTGGGGAAACAATGAGTGATTCTAACTGGCAAGTGGTTCAGCGGGGTATGGGAGGGAGGAGCCAGAGAAAGGCTGGAAAAGTGCCAAAACACTGGAGGCCACAAAGTTGGCCAGTCCCTGTGGGAGAAGGACCTGAGAACAGTGCTCAGGCTGGGCTGTGAGCTGGGCTTTGGAACTCCACGGGAAGGTGCAGAACAAATGAAGAAGGCCAGAGACTGATGTGAACGCTGGCCCCAGTCAGAGGCAGACCTGAGAAGGGCAGGGACACCCTCCAACTGACAAGGTCCTCCCCTCCTCTCCTCACATTAGATGGGATGCTCTATTCCGGCACCATGAACAACTTCCTGGGCAGTGAGCCCATCTTGCTGCGCACTCTGGGACCCCAGCCTGTCCTCAAGACGGACAGCTTCCTCTGCTGGCTGCAATGTAAGGACCTCAGCCCCATCCAGCACAGGTCTGGCCCCCATCCCCAAGTCCCGGACTCCTGGCACTCTGAACTGCTGTTAATTCACTCAACTCTCATGGGTTGAGGCATACTTTATGCAAGGTCGTACTGTTAGGTATTGGTGGTACTGCGGGGAAGAAGACAGGGCTCCTGTCCCGGGAAGGTTGCATCTTTTTAAAAAAACTGTTTAATTTTTTTTAAATTTTGGTTGTGCTGGGTCTTTGTAGTTGCGCAGGCTTTTCTCTGGTTGTGGCGAGCGAGGGGCTACTCTCTAGTTGCATGCAGTGCATGGGCTTCTCATTGCGGTGGCTTCTCTTGTCGGGAAGCACAGGCTCTAGAGCAGGCAGGCTTCAGTAGTTGCAGCACATGGACTCGCAGTGGTTGTGGATCTCTCTGGCTCTGGGGCACAGGTTCAATAGTTGAAGCCCACAGGCTTAGAGGCTGCTCGTGAGATCTTCCCTGACAAGGGATCAAATGCTTGTCTCCTGCATTGGCAGGCAGATTCTCTACCACTGAGCCACCAGGGAAACCCGTGAAGCTTTCATCTTATGTAAATAATTAAAGTACCTCCCCCTACCCATGGCCACGCCTCGACCAGCTGTGGATCTGGGGCATAGTACCTCCTGATCTTCAGAGTCAAGGGTTTTCACAAAGGGGAAACCGGGGCACCTAGGTGCTCCGTCTCTTAGCCTATCTGCCCTTCCCCTGCAGCGGACGCCTCCTTCGTGGCAGCCATCCCTTCCACCCAGGTCGTCTACTTCTTCTTCGAGGAGACAGCCAGCGAGTTTGAGTTCTTCGAGAAGCTTCACATTTCCCGAGTGGCCAGAGTCTGCAAGGTCTACAGCCTGGTGGGAGGCGGGGCTGGCCGTGGAGAAGCCAATGGGGGAGGTGGCAGAGGCGGGGCTGGGCGCTTAGGGTCCAATGGGGGTGAGGCGGGGGGTAAGAGGGCGTGGTCACGCCTGGGCAGTCGGGGCACCCTCTGACTCAGACTGCGCCCCTAGAATGATGTGGGTGGCGAGAAGTTGCTGCAGAAGAAGTGGACCACCTTTCTAAAGGCCCAGCTGCTTTGCACCCAGCCGGAACAACTTCCCTTCAACATTATCCGTCACGCTGTCCTGCTGGCAGACAATTCCTCCGCCGATCCCCGTGTCTACGCAGTCTTTACCTCTCAGTGGTGAGCAGCTAGGCGAGAACGTGGGGGTTGGAAGTGGGATTTGGGGTCAGCCCCCGTCTCGCCCTGGCCCACCAGGGAGGGTAGGAACTGATGTGAGCGAAGCACAAACTCCACACTTCACATGTGAAGACATTTGATCATCACCATCTCCCAGGTATTTGACTCACACCCTTAATGTAGGGCTTAACGTAGATAGAGAAAATAATGCACAGAATGGTTCTTATTAGTTTATGTTCTGCCTGATTCCAAAAAGGATAGGAGGCAGCTTACAAAAGGCAAGCATTAAAATAAAATAAACCTATGAAGAAATGGAAATAAAAGGAGAATAAGAGAACCCAGGGATCAAGTCAGCAGGTTACAGATGTTTATCACTTATATAGTTGGGGATGTTGGGACACATGTAGCTGTGAACTTCCTAGTGGTCGTAGCACAGAGTGAAACACCATCAGCAACATAAGATAAAAATAAAGTTATTGCTTGGAGACTGAGACTTATTTGCTGTGGTCTGGCCCCCACAGTGTTCAGGTATCTGCTGACAATGTGTCAGGTACCAAAGATATCTTTTGTAAGCAGGGTCTGGTATCTGTGGTTTCCAGGACTGAGAATATGGTTTATGCCACAGTCAGGTTAAAAGGAAACAATAGAGATAGAGCTTTTGTTTCCACAGACCAGGGCAGAAGGAATAAAAATAGTTTTGTAGTTGGGTTTTGTTTGGTTATCTGAGGACCAAGGATACACCGGACCCCCAGGGAGGAGAGCTTCATCTGGAGCCTGTCCGGGAGCTGGCTACATTGCTTCTCCCATGGAGGCTCAGTCTGGGCAGGCCAGGCGGGAGACGCCCCAGGGCCTGAGCCCAAATTAATTCTCATTAAGGATAACCACACCTCAGATCCTAAAATGAGATAAAGTCTGGGACTCTCTTACTGCCTCAGCTGGGGACTGACCCAGCCCTTCATAGTCCTGCCCTTCTGGGGTTTTTCACCAAAAGTGGGCCAAGGTGGGAGGGGGAGCTTCCTGGTATGGCAGAAGAAGTTGCAGACAGCGTCTCCTCTGGCTGTCTCCAGGCAGGTTGGTGGGACCAGGACCTCCGCTGTCTGTGCATTCTCACTCAAAGACATCGAGAAAGTCTTTGAGGGGAAGTACAAGGAATTGGACAAAGAGACTTCACGCTGGACTACTTATGAATATCCTGATATCAGTCCACGGCCAGGCAGTGTGAGTATTATCCACGCCACTGAGCAAAGCCCGCCTCCCCCAGACATATAATATGCGTGTCAAAGCACCTATCACAGCATGATAGTGCCCCATAAATGCTAGTGCTCCCCACACCCCCACCTCCTGTCTGCTCAGATATTCACCCATTCCAGCTGCCCACATTCCACATCCATGGTGTCCAACCCCATCCTAAACACAGAATAGCACCCCTACAGCCCAGCTAAGTGTGCACCATGTATTTGGGTATATCACTGAAAAAAAAAAAAGGGAGCACAGACTGTGCCAAGGACTTTCTTGGGCCACTTCATCTGCATTTCTTATTTAACTTTCATTTTTGGATTGGAGTTGTATATGTACAACATTTACATGGTTGGTTACAAACAACAGCCCAGTTTCCTCTCCTCAGCACTTTTCCCTCTCTAGAGACAGTCACCTTCAACTCTTTTAGCTGATTCTTTTGATTTTATCTTCAAATCTCAAAATATGTTTATTGCTATTCCTTGATGCTTCCATTTCAGGCAGCATCTATTGAATTCCCATTGTGGATGGTGAAGATTTAACCGTGTCGCCCCATCCCCACCCCCACTCAGCAATGAGCTGAAGCTGACTTGCAGCAACTAGCAAGAAGCCTTTGTGCATCTCTTTCCAAATCCGAGTTCAGTGACATTACATTGGTAGCTTGAAATTAGCCATGGTGGGAATAATACATTATGGAAATCAGCAAACACTTTAAATCATCACCCCAGAGCAGCCTTACCAGCACACCGCTGTACCCACCTCTTATCTCCCAGCATTGGATTATAGGCAGTTTGGTCAGGCCAGTATTTATATTATGATTCATTATTCACAACTGAGCCATGTAGTAGGCCATGATTATTTTTCCTTTTTGCATAATTTAAAAAGTTTTCCCTGGGGTTAGTAATTATCTTAATTTTTTTTTTGGCTTTGTTTTCTAAGCTCTTATCTTTAATTCAACCCCAAACTGTACCTCAATTATCTGAATCTCTTTTGAAAACAGACCCGTTTGGTAGTCTAAGAATTTCGTTTTCCTGGAAATCCTTTCTACCTGCTGCAGTCTTGAATACATCTTTGTTTCGTGTACTTCCGGAGTACAGCTGACATCCTGGAAGCTCCCTTCCTCATCATTCTGGGCATCCCCTTTACCTCTTTCTTGTGATAATCTGGTGTTTCTTGCATCCCACAACTTCCTATTTTTTCTTTCTTTCACTGTCTTATTTTAGTGGAGGATGGGTGAGTGGGTGCTAAGTTGCTTCAGTTGTGTCCGACTCTGTGCAACCTTATGGAGCCTGCCAGGCTCCTCTGTCCATGGGATTCTCCAGGCAAGAATACTGAGTGGGTTGCCATGTCTCCCTCCAGGGAATCTTCCCAACCCAGGGATCAAATCCGTGTCTGTTATGTCTCCTACATTGGCAGGTGGGTTCTTTACCACTAGAGCCACCAGGATGGCCTCTGTAAATTCCTGGAAAGGAATACACAGCAGGTAAATTTTTTTGAGATCCTGAGCTCGCTTCGGCAGCACATATACTAAATTTTTTTGAGACTCTGAATGTCTGAAAATGTCTTCATTCTACATTCACCTTTGATAGTTTGCCTAGTTGTATCTATTTTAATTTCTAGGAAAAAATAATCTTCCTTTCAGACTTGGAAGGCATCCTCTATTATATTCTAGCTTACATTGCTACTGTTTGAGAAGTCTGAAGCTACTCTGGTCCCCAAAGTTATGAATATCATCTGTTTTTCTCTCTGGAATCTTGTAGTACCTTTTTTGTATTGCTGGTTATTTTTAAATTTCATGATATTGTGCCTTGATGTGATCTTGTTCATTTATTGTCTAGGCGTTCACTTTGCCCTTTATACCTGAAAATTTAGTTCTTTCAGTTCTAAGAAGTTTTCTTGAACTGTTACCTTTTCATTTAACACATATTTTTTAAGGTCACCTGTCACTGTTGTAGGCAATGAAGATATAGTAGTGAAGAAAAGAAAAATCTCTTTCTTCATGGAGAGGATATTCTACTGTTAGAATGTTTTCTCACTTCTTTCTGAACCCCCTGGATTGGTTGGTCCTGTAACGTTTTAAATCCTTTTTAGGAATTTTCCCAAGTCTTTGGTTTTGTTCTACTTTCTAAGAGAGTTCTCAATTTTATCTTCTGATCCTTCTGTCAGATTGTTAATTTCTGCTAACATATTTAATTTCCTAGATTTTTTGAGCTTTGTATATGTCTTGTAAATATGTTCTATTATAGAGAATTTTAAACATATAAAAAGTGGACAGAAAAGAAAAAAAAAAGTGGACAGAACAGTATAATGGACCTCTATACACCTATCAGCCAGCACAACTCCTCGCCAAGCAGACTGCTTCATCTCTACCCCACTCACTTCCCCTCTTATTTTTTGAAGCAAATTCTGGGCATCATTTCATCTGTGTTAGTTTCCTGTGACTGCCATAACAAATCACCGCAAATTTGGTATAAAACCACAGAAATTTGTTCTTCCACAATTCTGGAGGCCAGGGCTTTGAAATCAAAGTTGCAGTCGAGGTTGGGTCCTCCTGGAGGCCCTGGGAGAGAATCCGCTCTAAGCCTCACCCCTGCCTTGGCTGCGGGCAGTCTTTGGTGGCCTCTGGCTTGTAGGAGCCTCACTCCAGTCTCTGCCCCTGTTGTCACGTTGCCTTCTCTCTGTGTGTCTCCTCCTCTTCTCTTCTGAGTACACGTGTCATTGAATTTAGAGCCCAGTGTGATCCAGAATGAGTCGTCTTGAGATTTTTAATTGTATCTACAAATACCCTTTCTCCAAATAAAGTCACACTCACAAGTTTTCAACGGGCATACCTTCAGTTGGCTACCATTCATCCCATTACCTCATCCATAATGATTTTCGTATGTATCACCAAAGATAAGGGCTTTGAAAAAAATAACGTATAGTTCCATTATTACACCAAAAAAATAATGCATGCGTGTATGTTTAGTTACTCTGATGTGTCTGACTTTTTGTGACCCCATGGGCTGTTGCCCGCTAGGCTCCTCTGTCCATGGGATTTTCCAGGCAAGAATGCTGGAGTGGGTTTCCACTTCCTTCTCCAGGGATCGAACCCAGGTTTCCTGCCTTGCAGGTGGATTCTTTACCATCTGAGCCACCAGGGAAGTCCCCCACCCTGCCCAAATTAATAATAGTTTCTTAATCTAATATGCAAAAGTATTCAAATTTCTAATAGTTTCATAGATACCATAAGGGTTGTTGTTTTTTTTTAAATATAGTTTGTTTTTGAAATCAAAATCCAAACAAGATCTGTAAATTTGGATTGGTTGTTCTTTTCAGTCTCTTTTAGTCTTTACGTTCCCTTTCCAAATTCTTTCTCTCTCTTACAATTTATTTGTTATATAGAATTTCCCACAGTCTGGATCTTGATGATTTTGCATCACTGTGGTGGAGTTTAAATAGTTTCTATAAATTGGTTGGTGTTTAGATCTAAAAACTTCATCATAAAAAGTTGCTCTTAAAGTTTGACTTTGAGGAGCAAAATAAAAAGTTGCATTAGTTTGGTCTTCTTTCAGGACATTTATAATCTCTGGCTGCATTCTTTGGGATAAGACCTTCTATTTTGAAGCATTATGTGTGTTCTTGTTTCATGGGTATGCTATCTTCATACTTCTCTCTCTTAAGGTAGTAATGGTACTTGCTGCAAAGTTTTCTTTTCTCTGAATCATTTGTTTCCTCTTAAGGTTTATTTATTTTTTCCATGTCTCTGTTTTTTGTGTCTTTCATGTCTATGACTTCACTCACATATTTGGTCATCTTTTGCTATCTACTCAGAGTTAAGAGGGAGGGGGCCTTGAAGGTGTGGAAACTCTGCACCCTGGGTATGACTTGGCAACTTGAACTCCATGATGACTCCACTGAGAATGGTCTGGCTAGGCTGCTTTACTGGAGACCTTCAATATCAGTATCTTTAAGTCTTTCCTTTTGAGCCTTTAGTCAGTTTTCCTGGAGCAGATTCTTCCAGTCTTCTCTTGGAGTGAGGCAGTCTGGCTCCTGGGATCTGGGAGTCATGGGGAAGAAAGGCTGGATGTAGGGGAAGAGTCTCAGCAGGTACTGTGTCTACCTGCATTTAATCTCCTGCCTTCATCATGGTATGTCACCCTTCTGCTGTCCTCCAACCAGAGTCCCTCTGCCTTTTCCTCTCTAGAGAATAAACCTCCAGTCCTGGGCCAGGGTATGGAAGGGACAGTCACTTAGCTGCATGGAGCTGGGAAGAAATCTGCCTGCTTCTTAAATAGATTTTCAAATATAGCCTTTCTTTTGCCCCGTTTCCAGAGGGGATTGAGGCCACTAATTTATGAACTTCAGAAATTCTGCCTTATAAATCAGAATTTAAGCCTGAGCTGGCTTAGAAAGAGTCTTTTTTCCTGCTAAGTCTTTTCCCTTTTGTTCATTTGCTTTCCAGCTTCCCAAATGTGGCTGCTTTTGCCTCCTCTCATGTTCTCATATGTCTTTTTAAAAAAAATCCCTTTGGGAGGAAGTGAGAGTAGGTACATGTGCTCATTCTGGCATCTAAATGAGATACAGATGTTATTACGTCACTTTCCAGATAGGAAGTTGCAGCTCGTAGAGGTAGGGTAACTTGTCTGAGGACACAGCATGTAGGTGACACAGTTGTGGCTGGTGTTAAGACAGTGCTGTTGAAAATGGAGGACAAGAATCGTGACCAAAGATCAGGACACAGGTGTCCCAGAGCCACAATATGCTGTTGTTGGCAGGGCCTTTCAAGAACAGCCGGTCCAACCCCCTCATTTTATGGGTAAGAAAAAGAAGGCCCAGAATGGAGAAGGGACTCTCCCCGAGTCGTGCATCCAACTCATGCCAACCCATGATGCAAAATATTCCCTGCTACACCACCCCTTTTTGTGACAGACTGCATTCCGTTATTGACTCTGTGAACATTTATTGGGCCCCAACTGTGTACTAGGTCCTATGCTAAGCCTGGGCCTACAGACATGAGTTCAGGGTGGTTCTTGCCTGCAGGGGATCCTCACCCTAGTTTCTGCTGGTGGCCAGGCATCGTTGGTGACGGGGATGATGGATAGAAATAATGACAGCTAATGCTTATCAAGGACTTACTTCATGCCAAGTACTGTTCTAATTACTTTTCATGTAATGTTTGCATCCTCATAGCAAGTCTGTGATGTGTTGGTAATAGGCCCATTTCACTGTTAAGGGACCTCAGACATGCTGAATTCAGACGCTGGGTTTTAAAGGCAGGCAGTTCCAGAGTCCAGCTTTAATCACAATCCTGAAATGAGGACTGCCAAGAGGGAGGGAGGCGAAGGAGATTAGCCAAGGAGGAGGGGGGGAGAGCAGAGGTGAGTTGAAGGGAAGGAGAAAGCTGACCTGATCTGCCTCCTTCCCCCTTCAGTGCTCCAAGGGCCCCTCCTCTGATAAAGCCTTGACCTTCATGAAGGACCATTTCCTGATGGATGAGCCAGTGGTGGGGACACCCCTGCTGGTGAAGTCTGGTGTAGAGTACACTTGGCTTGCGGTGGAGACAGCCCAGGGCATCGACGGGCAGAGCCATCTGGTCATGTACCTGGGCACCAGTGAGTAGAGGGCTCCAGGCCACCCCTCAAGGGGCTGGAGCCAGGGTTGCAACTCAGGTTGAGGAGGGAGACCTTTGAGTTCATTCACTCATGCATTCATTCAACAAATGTTTTCTTCTTTTTTTAATTGGATGATAATTGCTTTATAATATTGTGTTAGTTTCTTCTGTACAACAGTGTGAATCAGCTATACATATACATATAACCCCTCCCTCTTGGACCCCCCACCATCCCACCCCTCTAGGTTATCACGAAGCAGCAAATGTTTATCTGAGCACCTACGCTGTGCCTGGCACCCAGCTAGGCTCTGAAAATATAGTAGGGGAACCAAAGAGCCCCATCCCTAACTTTTCTGAACTTTCAGTCTAGTGGGATAGAGAAGCACGAAGGGTTTTGGTGACCTTAGCAAGAGCTGTTTATCTTATTTATTTACCTTATGGGGGAAACCATGCTAGAAAGGTGAAGAGTAAGGAAGGATAGAGGAGGAGTGTATCGACTTGGGGAGGGAGAAGATGGGCAGGAAGTAGAAGGAGCTCTTAGGTGAAGGCTTTTGTGTTTTCTATGAAATAGGAGAACACAAAGTCATGAGCGGTGGGGACCGAGGCATGGAAAACGCAGATTTCAGAAGATGGAAAGAAGGAGAGACAGTCTGTGGGGGGATGGGGAAGACTGCAAAACATGTGTTTTGAGGGCCTGGCTAAGGTGGATGACCTTGAGCTTTAGTAGAAGAAACCCATCAGGTTCATTCTTTCTTTTAGGACATCAGCTGTGCCTATATTGAGTACACAGTCGTGAACAACACAGACAAAAAGCTAGCTCCTTTCGGAGTGCATGGAGACAGACAATAAACATACTGAAGGAGTCGATTACTTGGTACATTATGAGATCAGAAAATAGATAGAACAGTGTGATGGGGTGGTCAGGAATGCTTGTTGGGGAGGTAGTAATTTTTGAAAGGGTGGTCGGGGTAGACCTCACTGAACTTTGAGTAGAGACACTTGACCGAAGTGAGGGAGGCTGGTGATATGATTTTCTACAGGACTGATTAAAAGTCCACATATCCATGAAGAAAGGGGATAGTTCGGTTCCTGTAGGGCTGCAGTTTTATCAGGCAGTTTCCAAGGAAGGACTCAGAGGCAAGGGATTTCCAGCCGTTTAGGAGAGCTCTGTCTCCGTGGCAACGGAAGGAAATGGTCTGACAGATCTGTGTCCAGTGCATACTTCAGAAGAAACTTTCTTTCTTTCTTTTTTTGGCTTCAAGGCGTGTGGGATCTTAGGTCCCCAACCAGAGATCAATTCAGCACCCCTTGCATGGAAGCCCAAAGACCTAACCACTGGGCCACCAGAGAAGTCCCAGAAGGAACTTTCTGACAGCTGGGGAGGCCATCTGGAGTCAAAGAGGGAGCATGAGAGGTTAGGTGATTTCATTTCTCTCTCTCCACAGGCACAGGCTCCCTCCATAAGGCTGTGGTGAGTGGGAACCGCAGTGCTTATCTGGTGGAGGAGATTCAGCTGTTCCCTGACCCTGAACCTGTTCGCAACCTGCAGCTGGCCCCTACCCAGGTGGGAAACGGCCTGACCCTCAGATGGGGTCTCCAGTGGGGCAGGCCTTGGGTGCTAGGTCCTTCCTAGGTATGGCAGGGTGACTCAACAGGCTTCATCTCTTTTCCAGGGAGCAGTGTTTGCAGGCTTCTCAGGAGGCATCTGGAAGGTTCCTCGAGCCAACTGTAGTGTCTACGAGAGCTGTATGGACTGTGTCCTTGCCCGGGACCCTCACTGTGCCTGGGACCCTGAGTCTCAAACCTGCCGCCTCCTGCCCACCCCTATCCTGTGAGTGCCGCTTCCCCAGTGTATGCTTCTGATCTCTCTCTTTCCAGGTGCTATGAGGTTGGTGCAAAAGTAATTGCGGTTTGGGGCTGTGAATTTTATATCATTTTAACTAGGCTCAAACACATCTTTATCGATCAAAATAGGAACTGTTACAATCAATACATTTTTGCCAACAAGAAATAAATCGGTTTATTCCCGTAGCATAAAAATCTGTGCTTCAGGATTCGACAAACTCTTGGAAACCATTTTCTACTGGATGTGGAAGCATTTTCCCTTCGAAAAGTTGCTTGAAGAAGTAGTAGTCGGTTGGCAAGAGGTCAGGTGGATATAGTGGATTTGGCAAAACTTTGTGGCCCAATTCGTTCAGCTTTTGAAGTGTTGGTTGTGTGGCATGTGTTTGAGTGTTGTTGTAGAGAACGGGGCCCTTTCTTTTGACCAATGCTGGCTGCAGGCGTTACAGTTTTCAGTGCATCCCATCGATTTGCTGAGCATGCTTCTCAGATGTCATGGTTTTGCCAGGATTCAGAAAGTTGTAGTGGATCAGACTTTCAGTGGTTGGACCAAAAAGAAGCTCGAAAGCACTTCCCAAAGCTGAATTTGCACCAAAAAAGGTCCTGACCAAACAGTGACCATGAGCTCTTCTTGGTGCAGGTTTGGCTTCAGGAAGTACTTTGGAGCTTCATCTTGGTCCGACCACCGAGCTGGTAGTCACTGATTATAGTATACTATCCACTTCTGTTTTCTCATTACACATCTCAATCTGATCGAGAAACGGTTTCTTGTTGTTGCGTAAAATAAGAGAAGACAACTCTTCAAAATGACGACATTTTTGATTTGCGGTCAGCACGTGAGGCATTCACTTACTGAGCTTTTTCATCTTTCCAATTTGCTTCAAATGCTGAACAACCATAGAATGGTCGACATGGAGCTCTTTGGCAACTTTTGTGTAGTTGTAAGAGGATCATCTTCAATGATCTCCCCAACTGGTCGTTGTCAACTTTCAGTGGCCGGCCACTGCACTCCTCATCTTCAAGGCTCTTATCTCCTTTACAGAACTTCTTGAACCACCACCGCACTGTACGTTCGTTAGCAATTCCTGAGCCAAATGCGTTGTTGGTGTTGCGAGGTGTCTCTGCCATTTTATGACCCATTTTGAGCTCGAGTAAGAAAATTGCTCAAATTTGCTTTTTGTCTAATATTATTTCCATAGTCCAAAATAAATATAAAATAAACATCAAGTAATAAGTCATTAGCAAAAACATAAAGCAAAATATATACATTAAAATGCTGTATAACATAACCACCTTTATGAAGAATGTATTCCAATACCAAATGGCAAATTTCAGCAATGCAAAAACCGTAATTACGTTTTCATCAACCTAATACTAACACATCTCCTCCAAGACTACCCCCAGCCTCTGGGGCCTTCTCCAGGGATGGAGTTGCACCAGGCATTGTTGAGCTGTTTCAGCCCACCCTGGGCGTCTCTTCCCCTGATCTCTATTCTACCTTGTCTCCCCGACCCATCTTTCTCCCCACTGCACTTCCCTCTCTTGCTCCCTCCTCTTCCCACTCTTGCCTGTTTCAAGGGATAATTTTTGCTTTCCCTCCTCAGGAAGCACTGGAAGCAGGACATGAAGCAAGGGAACCCAGAGTGGGCCTGTGCCGGCGGCCCCATGGGCAGGAGTCTGGGACGCTGGAGCCGCCCCCAGATCAGTGAGTGTGGGGCCAGAGGAGGTGCAAAGGCTAGGGAGGACTTCCAGCGGTGGGGACATCCTGCATCAGTTTCTCCCCTCAGCATCTGCCTGGCTTGGAACTGAATACCCAGAGTTGGGATGGATTTGAATGTCAGCTGTAGGGCGGAGGGATAGGAATCCTAAGCTGGGACTCAGGACTGGGGTTGAAATTGGTTCTGGTGTCAGAGCTGGAGTCAGATGGACTGATGGAGTCAGTTAGTTTGGGGCCCAGACTGGAGACAGGAAAGGGATCAGAGTTGAGTTTAGGACTTGAAATAGAAGTTGGAGACGGGAATGAGGCCCCAAATGTAGGGGCCTGCATTCTCCCCTTAACCCTTGGCCCCTTTCCTTCCCCTACAGTTAAAGAAGTCCTGGCTGTCCCCAACTCCTTCCTGGAGCTCCCCTGTCCCCAGAGCTCGGCTCTGGCCTCTTACCACTGGAGTCGCGGGCTAGAAGCCATCCCAGAGGCCTCTTCCACAGTCTACGACGGCTCCCTCTTGCTGCTTCTGCGAGATGGGGCGGGGGGCCTCTATCAGTGCTGGGCCACCGAGAATGACTTCTCCTACCCTGTGGTCTCCTACTGGGTGCACAGTCAGGACCAGCCCCTGGCCCTGGATCCCAAACTGGCGGGCATTCCCCGGGAGCGCATGGAGGCCCCGCTGACCAGGGTTGGCGGTGGGGCCGCCCTGGCTGCCCCGAAGTCCTACTGGCCCCACTTCCTCACCGTCACTGTGCTCCTCGCCCTGGTGCTTTCAGGAGCCCTCATCACCTTCCTTGTATCCCCGTTGGGGGCACTCCGAGCCCGGGGCAAAGTCCAAGGCTGTGGGACCCTGCCCCCCCAGGAGAAAGCCCCACTGAGCAGCGAGCGATGCCTTCAAGCCCCCAAGGAAAGCAGGACCTCTGTCAGTGATATGGATGCCGACAACAACCTCCAGGGCACAGAGGTGGCTTAAACTCTGGGTACAGGCTGGGGCTGTTGGATAGGGCAGGGCGCCCGGCCATTGGCTGGGGGAGCCAGGAGCTGCTCCTTCCTGACTAGGGTGGGAGTAGCACCAAAGACCACTTTCCCCCCACCAGAGGACCTTCTCTGCCATTCTGTGCCACTGATAGCACTCAGTGAGGCTGGGCACAGCGGCCTGGCTCCCCTGTGGAACTTGCTTCTACCAAGCATGTGGCCTCTCTAAGGAGGGGCTGCCCCAGACCTTGTCTAGGCTGTGAAAGGAGGACCCAGAGAGGATCCTTCAGTTCTGGGCATCCTGGGACCGTCTAGAAACATACTGCTGCAGGAGACCCTAAAACAACAAGCACTTGAGCACACCACACCTGGAGACTCCACTCTGAAAGCAGCTGCCACCTTGGACACCAACACTCCCCTCTCCCAGGGCTCTCCAGGACTCTGCAGGCAGCCGCTCCCTCCAGCTCCCCTTATCAACTCCGCTGGGAGGTCTTTCCTGAAGTCTCACCTCCTTCCATCTTGCTTCAGTTGGGGCACGTTTAATCCCTTCTGGCCTGGCTCGAGCGGGAGGGGTAATCTGAGCCTTGTTCACTCCTTCTCCCTGGCTCACCCCTGGACCTCTCTTCTCTCCCCCTCCTCTGTTTTGGAATTCAAAACCTGCTTGTCACAGACAGTTTATTTTTTATTAAAAAGACAAAGCTTGTGACTGGTGCTGTTTTTTGTCAGAGCAGAGCACTCCAGCCCGGGACCGTGGGAGGTAAGGGGAGCAGGAAGTCTGAGGACATTAGTAGGTTTGTGGGGTGATGGTTCTCTCCAGCTCCAGACCACTTCTTTCTCCCTGCCAGCTCCTTCCCGGCCCCCAAGCAGCCCCACAGCCCTTCCTTCTGCTCCAGACACTGCTGGAGAGCACCTCCAACTCTGGCTCTGGGGCCAACTCACGTCTGTGTCTGCTGGCCAGGCAACACCTCATCCACCACGGCTTCTGTGCCGCAGCCCCACAGCTGCTGTCCGCGGCTGTCCCACACTGCTCGAGACTCCTACTCAGGCCCCCTTCCCCACGGCAGCAGTTGGTTTCAACCCTTGGAGGACTGAATTTATAGAAAGACTGTGCAGCCACCCCCACCCTGGCCACATCCTTCCTAATATCTGACAAATGCTCTGTGCACACCCCCGTATCACCCTCCCACTCTCCATCCTGTCACTACGTTTGTCCCTTTTCCATCCAAGGCTAACGGGTGCATTGCCCCTTCCCCTGGCCAGGCCAAGACGCCCTCCACTGCCTTCCCCACTTTACTGCTCCCTCAGTGTTAATCTCCCTTCCTCCACCCCACAAGTGTGCTAGGTGTTCTCTGTACCAAAGAAAAAAAAGCAATGATCCTTCCCACAACGCCACACTTTCAGTCTACCCCCTCCACCCTCGCTAACTCTGTCCTGCTAACTACTGAACACGAGGTAGGCTTCATTCTGGCTGTCCCCCAGCACCCCCAGCATCACCCTCACCCTCTTTAATCCTCTGCAGTCTGGCTCGCCCCCCCACCCCCCACTCTCTGCTTACATGACTCTTCACGATTTTTCTTTTTTTTTAATTTTTTTTTCTTTCTTCACAATTTTTCATAAGCCTCTCACTGGCCTTGGTCTCTATGTAGTCTTCACACCTTGGCCATGATACTGTCCTCACAGCTCACTTACTCTTTTAAAATGTGTATTGGTGTATAGTTGATTTACAATGCTGTGTTAGTTTATGCTGTAAGCAAAGTGAGTCAGTTATACATAAATATACATCCACGCTTTCTTAGATTCCTCATAACTCTCTTCCACAACGGCTTTTTCTTTTTCTTTTTTTAACGTCAGACAGGTAATGTGCCGATGTCGTAACAAGGCTTGGAGGGAGGCGCATGTCACGCAGTAGCGTGAACACCCAGCCATCATGCTCATGAACGACAAAAGGATCTGCAATGCCTTTTTCTTTAGAAGATGTTTTAAAAATTTTCAGTTGTGGTAAAAAGAACATGGTAATATAAAATTTACCCTCTTAACCGTTCAGTTTTCGCTTCCCTGGTGGCTCCGTGGTAAAGAATTTGCTTACAGTGCAGGGATGCGGGTTCCATCCCCCGGAGAAGGAAATGGCAGCCCACTCCAGTATTCTCGCCTGGAGAATCCCATGGACAGAGGAGCCTGGCGGGCTACAGTCCATGGGGTCGCAGAATCAGACATGACTTAGCAACTAAACAGCAACGAACCATACAGTTTAAGCATACAGTTCAGTGTGTGAACGATATTCCCATCGTTGTATAACAGATCTCTAGAACTTTTTCATCTCGTGAAACTAGAAGCTGATGCTCACTGAACATTTCCTCCTCCTCTCAACCCCTCGCAGCCACCATTATGCTTTCTGTCTATGAGTCTGACTACCTTAGGTGTCTCGTCTTTGATCTTGTGTGACTGGCTTATTTCACTCACCATACTGGCCTCCAGGTTCATCCATTTTGTTGTGTATGACAGGATTTTCTTCCTTTTTTGAGGCTGATTAATATTCCATTGTATGTATAGGCCGCAATTTGTTTGCTTATCTGTTGATGGACACTTGGGTAGTTTTCACTTCTTCACTATTGAGAATAATGCCACAATCAGCAGCAGTTCAGTTCAGTACAGTTCAATCACTCAGTCGTATCTGACTCTTTGTGACCCCATGAACCGCAGCATGCCAGGCCTCCCTCTCCATCACCAACTCCCGGAGTCCACCCAAACCCATGTCCATTGAGTCGGTGATGCCATCCAACCATCTCATCCTCTGTCATCCTCTTCTCCTCCTGTCCTCAATCTTTCTCAGCATCAGGGTCTTTTCAAATGAGTCAGCTCTTCTCATTAGGTGGCCAAAGTACTGGAGTTTCAGCTTCAACATCAGTCCCTCCAATGAACACCCAGGACTAATTTCCTTTAGGATGGACTGGTTGGATCTCCTTGCAGTCCAAGGGACTCTCAAGAGTCTTCTCCAACACCAGAGTTCAAAAGCATCAATTCTTCAGCACTCAGCCTTCTTTATAGTCCAACTCTCACATCTATACATGACCACTGGTAAAACCATAGCCTTGACCAGACGGACCTTTGCTGGCAAAGTAATGTCTCTGCTTTTTAATATGCTGTCTAGGTTAGTCATAACTTTCCTTCCAAGGAGCAAGCGTCTTTTAATTTCATGGCTGCAATCACCATCTGCAGTGATTTTGGACCCCAGAAAAGTATAAAGTCAGCCACTGTTTCCACTGTTTCCCTATCTATTTCCCAGGAAGTGATGGGACCAGATGCCATGATCTTAGTTTTCTGAATGTTGAGCTTTAAGCCAACTTTTTCACTCTCCTCTTTCAC